CGCTGGGTGTGGTGGGTCACATCTGTAATCCCAGCACTTTGGGCGGCTGAGATAGTTGGATCACTTGAAGTCAGGAGTACAGTCAGCCTGGCCAACATGGTAAAACCCCATTTCTACTAAAAATACAAAAAAATTAGCTGGGCATGCTGGTTCACGCCTGTAATCCCAGCTACTCGGGAGGCTGAGGGAGGCTTGAGAATTGCTTCAACCAGAGAGACAAAGGTTGCAGTGAGCCAAGATCATTCTACTGCACTCTAGCCTGGGGGACAGAGCAAGACTCCGCCTCAAAAAAAAAAAAGTGAGAGTGTAGCATGCTGAAAGCCAAGGGCTGGGAGAGTTTGAAGAAGGCAGGAGGCACCAGTTCTGTCACATATTCTTTGAGAGGTCAAATATGAGGAGGCCTAATGAACATCCATTTTGTCCATTAAATTTATTTATTTTATTTATTTATTTTTTTTAGACTGAGTCTCACTCTATTGCCCAGACTGGAGTACAGTGGTACAATCTCATTTTGCTGCAATCTCAGCCTCCTGAGTAGCTGGGATTACAGGCATACACCACCACGCCCAGCTAATTTTTATGTTTTTAGTAGAGACAGGATTTTGCCATGTTGGTCAGGCTGGTCTCGAACTCCTGACCTCAAGCAGTCTGCCCACCTCAGCCTCCGAAAGCGCTGGGATTACAGGCATAAGCCATCACGCCTGGCCTGTCCATTAAATTTAAATGCATGGAAGCCACCATTGGCCTGGGAAAGTGTGTGTGTGCATGTGTAATGGGGTAGGTTACAAAGGGATTGAGAGGCAGGGAAATGCAGAAGCAAGTGTAGATAGCTCTTTCAAGAGGTGAGGCAGCAAAAGGGAGGAGAGAAGAAAGGTAGTACCTAGAAAGGGAAATGGGATGAAAGACTAGACAGCTGGAGACAAGTGGCATTCTTCTGCTATTGGTGCTTTTCTAAATAAGCCACTTTTAAAAAGCAGCTGTAGTGACTTCATAAAATCACATAGGCAAAACAGAATACCAGACATGTAAAAACAAGCAGATGGAAATTTATTACTGCGTAAACAGGACAAATCTATTTTTTTAGAAGCACCAATAATTCTCCAGTTGCCCCCAAGTAATTATTTGAATCCGGCTTAAAGATAAGCAAATAGTGTCCTGAGATCTTGTACCTCGAAGGGGTCATAGCAGCGTCTGGAGACCTGCAGTGTAGAAGGAGAAACAGGGGCTTCACCGTCAGATCAGAGGGCAAGTCCCAATTCTGACACCAGGAAAACCACTGTATCTCTCTGAGCCTGATTCTTGCTCTGAAAAATGGTGATAACTACCTCACTGGCAGGGTGGTTGTAAGAATCCTACGACATACGAAGTTCTGGCATGGTGTCTAGTGCTTAATAGATACTGAGTGAGCTTGGTAATCTGGGCATCAGTGACTCTTAACCATTCGTCGTTGTCATGCCCATACCAGCTCCAAGTACCACTCCTGACCTTGGGAGGAGTGTGGTTCTACTAGTTCATTATATCTTTTCCCTGGTAGTGTTAAAACATGATACTGACCTTTGATGTCTACAAAGGACCTTGCAGCTGAGTGTGGTGGTGCATGCCTGTAGTCCCAGCTACTTGACTTGGGAGGCAAAGGTGGGAGGATCACTTGAGCCCAGGAATTTGAGGCCCGCTGGAACAACATAGTGAAACCCTGTCTCAAATTTATAAAAGTAACGTTTCTTTAAAAAAGGGTTAAAGAATTTACTGAATTCTGATTGCAGTAATTTCCCCTTAAATGTTTTAAAGGGATGTGCCTTCCAGGAAATACCTGAAGATACAAAGGAAATAAACATAACTGTGAACATTGGTAACTTGAGGGTTTGTTGGTGTTCTCAATAGTTGCAGCTGCCGTGGAAAGCTGTTTAAAAGATTCCCTAGGCTGGGCACAGTGGCTTATGCCTGTAATCCCCAACACTTTGGGAGGCCGACGCAGGTGGATCACAGCATCAGGACTTCAAGACCAGACTGGCCAACATGGTGAAACCCCATCTCTACTAAAAATACAAAAAATTAGCCGAGCATGGTGGTGCACGCCTGTAATCCCAGCTGCTCAGGAGGCTGAGGCAAGAGAATCACTCGAACCTGGGAGACAGAGGTTGCAATGAGTGGAGACTGTGCCGCTGCACTCCAGCCTGGGCCACAGAGCGAGACTTCTACTCAAAAAACAAAAAAGATACCCTACACTGCTCCCTCTTTGCTAGCATGACTCTGGAGCCCATAAGAGTGAAACCGTGATAGTTATACAAGCTCACGTTTTCAAGTTCTTACTGTATGCCAGGTTTTTTTGAGATGGAATCTCGCTGTCACCCAGGCTGTATTACAGTGGTACAATCTCAGCTCACTGCAGCCTCTGCCTCCTGGGTTCAAGCAGTCCTCTGCCTCAGCCTCCGGAATGGCTGGGATTACAGGCGCCCGCCACCACGCCCAGCTAATTTTTGTATTTTTAGTAGAGACAGCATTTCACCGTTTTGGTCAGGCTGGTCTTGAACTCCTGACCTTGTGATCCACCCGCCTCAGCCTCCCAAAGTGCTGGGATTACAGGCATGAGCGACTGCACCCGGCTGCTTTTGTTTAAATCATTACAATAACCTTATGAGGTTGATACTAATCAACCACATTTTATAGGTGAGGAACCTGAGTCTCAAAGAAGCCCCACTTTTACAAATGAGGAAGCCAGACCTCAGAGACATTAAGTATCTGGCCTGTCGTTCCACAGTTAAGAAATGGTAGGACTGAGATTTGAACCTAGGTGATCTCATTCAAAAGCTGTGAGACTTTAGGGTGGCAAATGGTTCAAAAAGTGTCAGAGCCAGAAGGGCCCTTGAAATCATGTGTGCAGCTCCTTGTCTTGCACAGCTAGCATCTGGCATATTAGGAGTACAGCGTTTGTAATTAGCCAAACTGAAGTTTGCCACTTACTATCTCTGTGTTCTTGGACATCTGACTTTTATTTTCCTCATCTATAAAATGATTTTCACAGGATCATTATGAGGCACAAA